GAGTGTTCTCTGTTGCTCGGTACTGGCGCTTCTTTTCGAGGCCAGCAACACCACCAAACCCACCCCGCTGGCCGCTGCGCTTGGTGATCGTAGCATTGCGCCAGCTCTCGGACAATTTAGATACCTATTTTTGTCATCATTGTTAGCCCATGTTGGATAAAAGTGCGCGGATAATAGACTCACACTCTGAGAGAAGTCAACGTGGATACGATGGTCATCAATCAAGACACCCTGCATCTTGAAGTATGCCTGTTCGCAATCCTTCTGGTTCTCGAACTCGATGAAAGCGTATTGTAGACTGTCACCCGTACGCTTGTCGCGGATGACCTCACAAGACAGAATGGGTCCGAAGCGACTGAAGATCAGGTTGAGGTCCTCATCTAGTCAATGTGTGAGTTCAGAGTGTGACCAAAAGGCGCGATTTAGGATGCATACCTTGAGTGACTGGATTCAACTTGCAGACGAACAGGACGTTCTCTGGCGGCTTGACCTCGGCGAAGGGAAGATCGCCAACCATTTCCAGCGTCAACGCCTGTGCCCTTGCTTCGCGCTCCCGTCGCAACCTCTCCATTGACTCCTCGTCCATGTCGTCATCCAAGTCTTCATCATCGGCGATTCTCACCGTAGCCAGCTGCGCCTTGGATGGCACCGGGCTCTCCGGTGGCTCCACCAAGCCTTCGGGGTCTTCAAAAGGATCATCGAGGATGACGGTATGACGAATACGTATGTCTTTGAGTGGCCGGCCGCGATCATCAATAAAGGCCTCGTTGACTTTCTCCAGGACGTCAAATCCCTCCACCACTTTCCCGAAGATCACCGCCTTGCCGTCCAGGTAATCAAGATTGTCTCCAAGAGTGATGATGAACTGGCTGGCGGCGATGCGCAGATCAGGGTCGTTGGGGGACGGTACGGTGGCCATGCTCACAGTGCCGCGTTCGTCATGCTTCAACTTGGGCGGGAGCTGGAGGGGAAATGTCCGCTGGGAAGGGCCCTGCAGCAAGCCCCATATCGACGATCCACCATCGCTTTCTGAGGAGTCGGGCCCAATCGGATCGCCAGTCTGGAAGGTGAAATTCTTTTGAACGCTGTGGACGGGCGAGAAATTATAATATTTAACTTTGCATAGCTTTAAAAAGCTAAAGCGGAAAACCACAGACAGCTTAGTTCCTGTTCAGCCACTCGATTTGTACGCGCGCAAGAAAAAGCACCACAGCAAAAGGGAAATCGAAGAAATAGGGGAGTGCTCACTTTTCGCACGCTTTAGGGGACTCATTGACCAGCAGGTCGATGACAATGTCACCGAGGGAAGTTTCCAGCAGGACACTCATGGCAAATACCCGGCCGCTGCGGGCGATACTGCGAGGATCGACGATGCGTTAGACAGGAAGAGGAAAATGGGGACAAGGACAGGACAAGGTCCCGGAAGAAGATGAGGCGCTAATAGGCCCGAACGATCAAGGGTTGGGATAGTCGGAGAAAGAGAGGGAGAAGGTAAGGTGAGTGAGTGAGTGCGCCGGATGATGCAAAAGGACCAGGATGGATGCCGAGGAGAAGCGAAGCTCAGCTCTACGGGGCGGCAGGAAGACGCGAGTCTGTTTTAGTTAAGTTTTGGCCGGCCAACGGGTTCAGCATCGACTCTTTGCCTTGACTGGCGCAACAAATGTCACGAATCATGCGCACTCAAGTCCCTGCTGTCCAGTCAGATTATTCTTATTCTTGTGCTTCGTTATTATTTGTTTCATTAGTTTTATTCTACCAATCTTTTAAATTCCGGTCAAGTCGTCGATCAGCTACCAGCTACTTTTGTACTTTGTACCCAAAGTACAACTAGTCTCTCTCTAGTCTACCTACAACTACGCTAGACATTATCTACTAAACAGCTGCTAGATCTCACTCCCATGATCAAATGATCAATCAATTACCACCTCAATGCAACTAAATTATCCAACTGTCGATCAACCAAACCCCGGCCAGGTTGGTACTAAACTACTTATGGTCTGGCTCTGGCCAACGGGGTAGACTAGACTATATCCTGGTCTAACGGCAGAATGACAGCAAGATGACGGGCTCACGGACCCTGAAGCATCGTGCGTTGCTTCGATCATTCTCGGCGCCTTTCGGGGTGTTCCCAGTTCCCACTGTCGGATGGTCGAACCGGCGCTTCCTCCTCCCGTGTAACCGCCGTCTTTCTCAACTGAGCGGCATGACTTCCGGAGAACCCTGTTGGACGAGAGCAATTAAGGCAAGAAATAGGTTTACACTAGGCTTGGGCCGAGATCCAGCAGGCACTGTTTGTTGCTGTGACGGAGCTGTTGCCGTTGGCTCCATGCCACAAGTTACCGGCTGTGCAGGCCGTCGGCTCTACGGAGCACAAAGCAGAGAGCTTTGGAAGTAAAGGGGACCAAAGGGGCAAAAAGGCACGAAATTCGGGCTGAACATGCTCAACCAAAAGTCAACAGGTACACCGCAGGGAATTGACCCGGCTCAGCAATAGAAAGAGAAGAGATGCAATTGTCGGATATCAGATGCTTTGGGATGCCCCGTTCACTGCCCCGAATCTCATCTGCTCTGCGAGTTTCACTACAGGGGCGTTGGAAAAAACGGGCGGTCTCTTGCAGCTAGATCCAACAATCGCTCAATCGTCCCATCAATGACTCGGTGCAGCTATGCCAGCAATCCTCTGCTATCTACTAGAGACACGTGGTGTACTTTACCTAACCCGGAGCCCCTTTACAATAAGGATCGACTCAGGACGCCGTTAGGGACCGAGGAAATAAAATGGGATTCATGATCTCCGAAGGGATTTCCTATTCGGTGGCTGGTCCTATTGCCAATGGCAGAGGAGTTGACCCAACCACTATGTGATAGTGAGGTGAAAGAAGTAAAGTGGCTATTCCACCTTTCAGCTTACAGCTAGGACTTTGTTCTCGTCATTTTCCTTTTTCTTCACTTTTAACTTTCTTTTTTCTTAAGTTTTAGTTTTGTCCCTCTGCCCTTTCAAGCTGCCCCCTAATTTCTCCGCGTTAACCTCTCGTTTATCTGTATCTATCTCACGTTCTTTGTTTTTTTTTCAGCTCATTTCGTCGGCTACTGATCTTGAAACATAAGATACCGGGTCTTATCTCTGTGTGATCTGCCTTGATCGCCAACCAAAGACACACTAACCATTTTAGCTCCGTTCGCTGATCTTGTAGTTTCCGTGATATTCATTACTTTGCAACTACCTTACAACTGACAGGTGGAAACCGTTCCGATCTGGGCCAATCGTTGTTTAATAAACTGATGGGTTTGAGCGCCAGAAGATGCTGACACTTTGACAGCCCCTGCCAGGCAGTGAGGATATGTACCGGACCCCGTGCCCCTGAACCTCATGCATACTAAGATCTCCCATGCCCCACAGCCCTTGTCAGGCCTCGTCGGGTTCAGGAAATACGTCGCCATTCTCTTATTCGCCAGAGAGCACTTCCCTTTTTTCCTTTTTTCTTTTCTGCTTTTCCTCGATGAGGCCAGACTTTCCATTTTATTGTTCAGGTCCCCATGGCAAAACCTGGAATCCAGAAGCCATGCATACTAGTGCAGATCCAGTCCCAGCCCGGTGACCGGGACACAGTTTTAAAGACGGTCCATTATATACCAGGGCTATTCTCTGGTCCAGTCTTGGCTGCTAAGCCACATTGTGATGCTTTACTGGAAACGAAATGATCCAATCGAGCCCAGAGGGTGCTGTGATTTCTTGTAATGAGATAATGAGAATTCTAGGAAACCAAGCATCCTGAGAAAATGGGGCGATCTCATTGGAGCACGTCCGTTTGCACAGCAAGCTCAAGCTCGGTCATGTATCCGCCTTCTCCTTGCCTTGACAAGGAACACCAATATCTAAAGTGACTCGTGGCTATGATGTTCATTCGATCCGATTCGAGACGGATGCTGTATGCCAAAGGTACTGACTATTTTAGACGTGCAGGTCATAGTTAAAGGGAAGAAGAAGAACGAGGGTTGTTTGATACCGGCGGCTGCGGCCAATAGGATTATCTTATGTCGACCATTGTCCTATCATTGGCAAACATGCACACGTTCATTGCTTCCGCAACCCCCCGTCAGTAGGGTAGGTAGGTGGGCGCATCTGAGAGGGTTCCTGCAAACGTAGCCGGCGGCTGTCTGCTCCGCGACCGCTTATTCCTGATGCCGACTTGGCCTGTCACTTTGGACGCCGTTTCTGTTATGAGAGCAGCATGTCATCATCCAAACACTGGAGTGGCGGAAACAGAAGCACCAGTGGATGGCCCATTGGGAGGTGATTGGATGAAACAGCTCAGAGACCTCAGGCCTTCCTTACTAGGCTTGATAGGTCTTGCGGTAATGACTATCAAATCAGGTCACTTGGTGCAACGTTACTTTTGTGAAACAGAACCTCTAAAACGCCGGGGTATTTTGGCCTGCCTGGTCTACTATCAGCATGCCTTGAGGGTCCTCCAACTCACAAATTCTTATTTTCTTTCTTGAATAGTAATGCAACACGGAAAATTGCATGTTACTCCCCTGGTACAACCAGAGCAAGAACAGTTAAAGTATCAAACTAGAAACCCATCTCGAATCAGGACGTGACGTTAATTCCCCTTAGAACTGGGGAAATGCTCTGGTGAGGTGATGATCGGTCTGAGAATGTATCCCCAAGGCTAGAAGCCAACAGCAGTGGCCTTTCCCCACACAGAAAATAAAATGGAAATTAAAACAATTGAACTTTGAAAGAAAAGGGCCAGGCCTTCTTCTAGCAGCAAGACTACGCACCACTGACACATGGACTTAAATCTGGCCTTGCTTCCGGCTAAAACCCCCCCTCATCCCTCCCGGTTTCTTTCTGAATATTTGATGGTAGACGGAACATGCTGGTCCCTATCATCCCTGATCTACCGACCTTTTTATGCTCGCAGCAAACCTTTGAGAAGTCTTTTCACTCCTTAGTCTTGTCTTGACTACATGTGAGTCTTGCAATAGAAACCATGTTTTCCTCCGCGCTGAATGATCAAGCTGTGATGGCTCAATCTTACTACTCTTCCGTGGACGAGGCCGGCTTCTGTCCACAGTCCAAGCGAGACGCCTTCTCAATAGCACACTCCGTACGGAGTGAATCTCATCATGACATGGTGGATAGAAGCTCTGCTTGTGTGAGCCCTAGCAGCGAGCTAGATAGCAAGAGCCGGAACTCCACCAGGCGTCGGATACAAGTGGCAGTAAGTTACTTATCTAAAGCTGAGATGCGATTGCAGAAGGGACAGACACTGATCATAACCAGTGTAACCGATGTCGGAAAAGAAAGATTAAATGTAGTGGCGACAGTGGCAATGGACATGGTTGCTCTAACTGCATCAATGCCGGAAATAAGAATTGTCAATTCTTGAGGGTATGTACTGTGTCTCCATCCAAGACCTCAGCTCTAGAGACAATTAGCTGATCAGCCATAGGTAAATTCGGAAATGATGCAGCCGAGAGCCAGCGAATGGCCCCAGATCTCAGGAGCTACTACGATGTCTCCGTCTCCAAGATCCGGTCTGTATGTACCGACGACCTCACCCAATCCTCGCATGGCCCCTTTTCCGCGGGCCTCTAGTTATGATCTCGGATCAGCCGATCCTCATAGTGCATATCATCGACACCCCTTGGGGGTGGACCACGGGTTGCCCTACTCAGATGAGGCTTCAGTGTATTCATCTCTGTCGTCTGGGTACATCCTGCCGAGTGCTCCACCGAACATTTTCATGGATCACTGCGGGCAGACATGGAACCCGAAGTTGTGGAATCAGAGTGTTCCTGTTGGCAGGAGTCCCAGTGGACCAGTATATCCAGACAGCGATGCCGAGGCCGCGTTGAGTCAGTCGGCGTTTTACATTCCTCACTCGACGGAAGGCCTACCGATCGTCCCAACGATGAGCTTTCCTACCGCAGAAGGGCAAGGGACGGACCGAACGCTTCCCAATCCCAGTCGGAACCAAGCTCAGATGGGGATGAACACCTTCACGACAACGACAACTGAAGAGACACTCTACGGGATACCATACGGGTACCGGACCAGCAACAGCTGCGCCCACAAGAGCGTCCTGTTAAACCATGGCCGCATGCAGAGTCCAAGCGAGGCTTACAGAAGCGGTCCTATCAACCGGAGTAGATCGGCACAAGATATGATGTTTGGGTACTTGCCGTCGAATGGCAGCTCATCACCTTTAGTCGCTGCTGGTTCGTTTGCTTCTGCGTTGGATGACGCGGTTGAGACGAGCGACGCCAGCGACAGCCACCAACCATCGCGGACGTTCTCCCATGACCACCTTTCGGACTACGGCTCCGATACCTATGTGTATAGCAGTAGTGAAAGGCGCGATAAAAACCACTCGCACACCGACGGGGCAGGGTCGATGTTGATGAGCGGGCTCACGTACACGCGCCCAGTGCCGGGACATCCCAGTCCTCCGCCGTTGGTTCACAGCCCAGCGTTTCGAGCAGCCACGGAGATACACCACCACCACACCGCCATGCCGTCGCTGAACAGTTCGAGCGAGTACTAGGGACTGAAGTGTCCATGCGTCCCGATGAACGTCCAGGGTAGTTTACAAGCTATCTATAGAGCGTTAAGCGCCTTGGCAGCGCCGATCCCCAGTTGGCCACCAACAAGGGCCCTAATCCTACAAACAGCGACGTCGGCAAACAGCACCATATTCCAAAGCCGAGTGCTTTAATTTTTGTGGCCTTTTTACATATGCCCACTCAGCGAGAGAGAAAAACAAATAACTCAAATGTTACACTACTAATCTTAGGGACGGTTAGCTCTGTGTTTTGATTTGTTTCTGCCCCTTTATTTTTGTGTTCTTTTTCAGCCGGGTGCTATTGATTACCTTGTCAGCCTGACAAGATCCCCAGGGTGGGCTGGCTGGTTATTCTTTGTTCGCAGGTGGCTTGTTGGGTTTGATAACCCATTGCTTAATTAATTGTCTCGAATTGTTTCATTATTTGTTGGGCCACGGAAAAGAGGGGGCGCCGTTGTTACTGCTACTATTGCTATTGCTGCTGTCATAATACTTTTGCTGTGTTTTGATTACCCCATCCATTATTCCTGTTTTGTTTTACACTTTTACTCTTACGTTGACTGGTCTTTGTTAATGCTGCCTGGCAGCCTAATGGTTACACCCGCGTGACCTTAATATGGAAGGGAGAGAGGGGGGGATGTATGAAAATAATAAGGATAGCATTTACTTAATTGCATACATACTATTGATCTATACCTTTAGACATGCTGTGAAATAGCTGTAGACACTTTGATAAATCATCTACAGTATCCCTATCTCTTCAATTGACCTCTACCTAGCCCCAACTGACATTACTTATCCTCCACTAAACAGAGAACCCAGCTCCAGCCCCAGCCCATAAGTATGACCATCTTACACAATTCAACTAATCTAAACCAAACGAAACTAAACTACTTACTTACCTGCTTAACTTAACCCTCCCCAACCCACCCTAACCTCCCAAGTAAACCCCACATCCACATAACATCCACATCCCCGCCAAGCCGTTACCCCAAGTATAGTACCAGACTATACTATAATACTACCTACCTAGAGTAAGTACAGGTAGCATAGTATACTCCTAACTATAATAAACTCTCGTACACAAACACTAAACTAAATCATTACTACCCCAACCCATGTAACCCTTAAACCACACCACTGGTCTCCCGGTCTCCCGGGTCCAGCTTCCGCTCGGGTGTAGTATGTAGTAGTATGATGTGTTATGTGTACCTGTACCGTGTCTATGGGGTGATGTTGGGTAGGACAACGGGACAAAGAAAGAGATAGTTATTACTACGTAAGTACTTACTTACCATGCTATCGGGAGGGATGAATGGATACTACCCTAATCTTTTTATGTTTGGGATATGTCTTACTGTGGTGGTTGATAGTGATAGTGGGCTTAGGGGGTAGGTAGTATGTGTGTGTGGTGGGGGAATCTCACTACACTACTGGTAGTATCTGATAGGGTAGGGTAGTTTAATTTAATGATGATGGTGGTGGCTGACTGGCTATATACTAGGCGCGTGGGGATAGAAAGAAGGAAGGATTGTTGGATGGCGTTGGGAGGAGGATGTAGGTCGGATCGGATTCCTGAATTATGGATTGCCTGTCTTTTGTCTTTGTCTTCTGGGATCTGGGAGGTAAATGGTAAAATGGTAAATGGGCATGTTGTTTCCGGACGGAAGATCGACCGGGGGCAGGGGAGATTATCAGCACAGACAAGGTACGTAGGTAGGTATCTAGTGGTTATCGTGCTGGAAGGTCATAAGGGTAGTAATAACAAAAAGGGATATATTTAATTTTAATGAACATCCATCCCGAATATCCCCGGTACGCGCGCGCGAAAGAAGTAGAAGAAAGAAGTAAGAAAAAACGACCAATCCACACTCATCACCTAGGCATCTTGTCTTGTCTTGTCTTGGGATTATGCGTGGAAAGTGAAAAATGTTTAAGAAAGTCTTCCCTGATCTTTTTTTCATTCTTCATAAGAGGGAGGGGGAATTCGTGATATGATAGAGGGAAAAAGAAAAGAGGAAAACGAGAAAACAAGGAAAACACAGGCGGGTTATGCGGTGCCCGCCCCAATACGGTAAGTAGAATAGAGGGAGAGTTAAAAAGAAACCATGAAACGAGTTTGATGATAACGCCCTCATTCACATACACACACGACAACCACACACACCAACCCAGTGTTCCCTTCCTTTTTTTCCTTTTCCCCCTTCATATCCAGCAGGGAATAAGTAAAAAAAAAATTGTAACAATTTTTTCCTTTCTCCATTTTTCACTTCAGGCCCGGGTCCGCGTGTCGACGATCGTCTTCTTCTCCATCTTCTAATTCTTCGTCGTCGTCCGAGTAGTAAGGTATCCGATGATCCGAAAGTGAATTCGAATCCTGCAACGACCCCCCTCTCTCTCAACCGCACGGAATTCCATCGTGACGATCCGCTTAGTCCTTGTTCTTCTTGGGGCCCTTGGTCTTGGCGGTACCGCGGAACTTCTTGGAGCGGTTCTTCCGTTGCTTGCCTGTAGGGGTTGTGAGTATTGTTTCGGCGGGAATAGATTGATGGTATAGATGGGTGTAAACATACGCTGCTGTCTGCTGGGCTTCTCGACCTTTGTGCCAGCACCGATGCGGACCAGACGGTAGAGGGGCTCGAACTTCTTCAGGGCCTCCTGGGAGTCGTAGATGAGAGCGAAGCCAGTGCTCTTACCACCACCGTACTGCGTACGGAAACCGAAGACGGAGACCTGGTCCTTGTTGGACTTGTACAGGTCGGCGAGCTTGTCGCGGAGCTCGTCCTTGGAGACGTTGGCGCGGTTGGGGTGGAGGACATCCCTGTTGGAAAGAAATCAATCATCAGCATGCCGTTATTCCTTTGCTGGTTGCCTCCAATATTTCTCCTATTGATTGTTTAATATGTCCGGATTTCAATATTCGATATTGAAGCACACACACAAAATATATAATATAGTATATATTCTGAGTGTGCTCAAAAATCGATCATTTCCATCCGAACATATTTCCTCCTCTTATTCCTCCTCTTGTTGTATCCGTCCGTATCCTCTCTGCATTTCCTCCTTCCGATCCTTCCAGCTCATGGTGAAGGGAGCTTACACGACCATCTGCTTGCGAGCAAGCAGGGGGTTGCGGATGAACTTGCGAGTCCGCAGGGTAACGGGAGCGTCGGCCATGGTTGCAGGTGCAGTTGACAGCGAGAATCTGCGTGCGACAGGGAGAAGCTGAAGGGCAGAAACGGGGGGGCGCGGGTTGTCGAAGTCGCTGTCAGTCGTTGGCGGGCTCGAGATGCGCTCGATTCAATTTTGGCAGAGTTTCGTTGTGCATCGCCTGTGGGCTCGGCTAGGCTACACTAGCCGGATGGGGTTAGAGTATTACCCTTTGTGGGTGTATCCTTAGTAATACATACCTTACCAGATACAGTTAGAGCCCTCCAACTAAATACAAAGTAGTTATGCTAGGGTAGCGCATTGATTACTAACCTATCCAATCCACTAAGATAACCACTTATCAGTATCTACTATATCACTTTTTAATCTCAACTACAGCGACTCACTCCAATTGCACATCCAAAATGTCCCTCTCCCTCCTAACAGCCCAATATTTCCAACAACTCGACCCCCACCTCCTCACCTTCCCCGAAGACAAGCATCTCCTCCACCCCACCACCCAAGAAACCATCTACAACACTCTCTTCTCCGAATCCCACGCCGCAAATGACCACCACCAACCCCTCCCCCCACCCGCCTACCGCACGCGCGTGCTCAAACGCCTCATCACAAAACTAGAATCCCTACTCTCCAACCCCGAGGAGGATGTACGCTGATCCTGATCCATATCCCTTGAGTATGCGCTGCATACCCTACCCACACCCACATCCAAACAATTATCTAAACCACAATCCCCATATAATAGGAAATCAACGAATCCCTCCTCGAAGAATACAGCACGCTTCTCACCCTCCCCAGGCCCTCTTCAATCGAACAAGCCCAACAACTCACATACATTACCTATACCGCGCCACCAGAAGAAGACGACGACGACCATGACTCGGAGACTAATAATAAGAGACGAACAATCCTCACCTCCGAATCCCGCTCCGCAATCATAACAGCCGGCACAACCGGCCACCGAACATGGGAAGCCGCATTGCATCTGGCCACGTACCTTTCCTCCACGGCAGCAGGACGGGCGCACATCGCCGGGAAGAAGGTACTTGAGCTTGGCGCCGGCACGGGCATGGTGTCGATGTTCTGTGCGAGGTATCTGCAGCCGGAGGTGGTGGTTGCGACGGATCGGGAGCTGGGGTTGATGAGGCAGATTAGGGATTGTGCGGGACGGAATGGGTTAGTTGGGGAGGGAAATGATGGTGGGGTGTTTAAGGGGTGGATTTGGGAGTGGGGGAGGGAGTTGTCTAGGGGGAGTGGTGAGGATGATGATGATGATGATGATGATGAATTGGAGAAGGTGGGAGATGATGAGAAGGTAGAGTTTGATGTTGCATTGGGTGCGGATTTGGTATGTTGTTCTCCTTCCTTTCCCTTCCGTATCTTTTCCTCATCTTTGTTGCTTCGTTGGTCTGTGGTTTGTGGTTATACCATGGATAGACAACGTGCAACTCTGGCCCGGAGTACTGGGTGCAATCGCCTAATCTGGCGCGAATTTCCCGAGCACTATCCATTCCTCTGGCTATGGTAGCTACCTAGCTACCTCTGCACCAGATGAGATGGTATGCATCATGTCGTGTCGTGTTGTGTTATATTAAGTGCTGTTGTGTCGCGTTGCACTACATGCCTACCTACCTCTTCACCTCCTCCATCCCAAAACCGAAATCACTGACAAATACTCTCCCTCCCTATCCACCAGATCTACGACATCGACCTCGTCCCGCTCCTCGTACAGACCGTCAAATCCCTCTTTGAGAAATACGCCGTCAAGGAATTTCTCATCTCCGCGACATTGCGCAATGAGAGGACTTTTGGCGCGTTTTTGAATGCTTGTGGTGTGTTTTCTTTCTCTCCCTAAATACCCTGGTATGGGTTTGTGTGTGTGTGGAACTGATTGACTAACTAACTGTATTTGTGATGGGCAGAGCAAAGTGCGTTGAAGGTGGAACGGGTGCCGTTTGAGTCCCCGGCGGAGGAGCATCAGAGGGGGTTCTTTCATTCGACGGCTATTCCGATTAGGACGTATAGGATTACTGCCTGATTCTATTTCATCGGTTGTAAGAGGGGTTGTATATAGGTGTGGGTGTATAGACAATAGAAAAGAGTGACAATCTAGATACAAAATGTATACTATATAAATCAAAGGTATGTATTTGTATAATTCCATTAGAGAGAGTACTAACTACCTTCCCTTCTAACGCTAGTAATATAATATTCTCTGTATGTGTATGCAATATAGACATCGCTCATGGGTATCATAATATATCTAAGGAACGCCCCCCCTCCAAGACAGGAATGAGTGAATAAAAGAGTAGTAAGTAATGAACCACATAGGGAATGTGTGCATACACCACAATAGTGTATGCTGGAACCACGCTCAACAACACTAAAAGGTAGTAACTGAATAGAATGACAGCACCGTGATCAACAAGATACTCTCGACATTAAAACAATATACCAGTGGTGTTTCACTGGCAGTCGGCCAGACTCTCCCGGAGTAGCCCCTCGTCCACTTGCTCTGCGTGCACCGATACCGGCACTCGTGATCGCGACGGAGGTCGGAACCCCAGGATCGGTCCCTTCTGGTTCACGCCCGGGTATCGGAAGCGCAAAGGAGGGGCCAGCTGAGGCCGGTGGTGTCGGCTCTTCCTGGAAGTGGAGCCAGCGGACGAAGGCCTCCGGCTGGGTGTGTTGGAAGTAGGAGCAGAGGCTGTGGCAGATGTCTCCTCGGCGTTGGGTTCGTTGGTCGAGGTGGGCGCCGTGCCCCAGTGTCCGCGGACCCAGCCGCCGACGCGTCGGCCCAAGGAGAATTTGCGGGATGAGGTGGTGGTGTCTTCGGGGTCGTTCTCAACCGGGGTTTGACTGCGACTGCCGGCCACCGAGGCAAGGAGTGTTTGCGGGCTTTGGTCGGTTATCATCGCCAGCTCGCTGCCCGCTGTGACAATACTGGGAGAGATGACGGGAGGCGTGGGGAACAGGTCGGCCCTGGAGGACATGATCCGGCGGGGAATGCGGACCGGGACAGCACTGGAGTGGAGGTCGCTCAGTCGCGAAGGACGACGGCTGGGCGTGTGGATGTCCATGCCAGCTACGGAAAAGAGACTCTCATGGGAGGCGCTGCGGCGAGGGCCGCGATAGGGCGTGGAAAACATGCCCTCCTGGACGGCAGGAGAGGCAGCCCGCTCGGACTCGGGATAGTTTGTAGATCGCCCATCTTCCCTCTCCTCCGGAATGACGGACTGCATCGGGGCTCTGCCTGCGTAGTCGGCGCTGCTGCGACGCTGGAAATAGTCGTGAACCAGTTCGTCGTCAATGCCCGGGATTGACACTCCATCGCCATCCAGCGAGCGATATGCCGCATCGATCTGCGCCTTTTTGAACCGGCCGTTTCGCAGCGGCGAAGAAAAGACCGTGCTATCAGGGCTTGTCGGTTGGGAAGAATCGAACCCGCGGTCTACCCGGTCAAAGATGGATGATGGCTGGTATGCCGACTGTGGGGAGCTGGCCATCGATTCCGTCGCAGGGGACTGCACCGACCAACGGTGAGGTACCGTCGGAGGAATAGATACGGAGGTTTGCGAAAGGATCGTGGAAGCGGAGGAAGTCGAGGGCTTGGAGCGGTGATTTGGTCTGAGAGGGAGGGATGTTCCTGCAGCCGAGTGTAGCACCGTCGCACTGCCAAGGGAGCGTCTCTTCTTGTTGCGACGGAAGAGTGACCCCCGCTCCTTCTTGATGGCTGGTGAGTGATAGTGGTGATGGATGTGGAATTCCTGCGACACCCGGCGCGACTCCTTCGACTCCAGTTCCTGACTGAGGGTCGTGGACGGCCGCATCTCTTGCTCTTCGGGCCCCAACGGCTGGTGCGACAGAACCTGATCCCGCAGATTCTCGACTTCCTGGTTGGAGCTTTCTAGCATCTCCCGCAACTCCATGATCCCCATCTGTAGGTTGGCATTGTCTTGTAGGATATCGCGGACGAAGCGGGATACCACCGTAGCGCCGCCGCGATTACGGCCCAACTCCTGGGCCGCTGCGGCGCCCTTCAGTCGACCAGCGGCGCCATCAAGCTCCCGTTCCACGGTCCGCCGCCGTTCCATACGTTGAACCAGCTCCGCATGTCGGTCCCGTTCCTCGCGGGCTTCCTTCTCGATGCGATCCACCTGATCGTGCAGGTCCCGCAAGGTACATTCAGCTTGGCGCCATCGCTGGACGGCCGACTTGGAGTCTTCCTGTGCGGACTGCAGGCTCTCCTGCAGCTTGGATTGTTCCGCTTCCATTTGCGCCAGTTGCGCTTCGAGATCGGCGGCGCGAGCCGCCGAGTGCGTGAGTTTGCGCAGCTCCGCCTCGGTGCTTTCAAGGCGGGTTTCCAGCGACTTGGAGTGGGAGTCAGATTCGGCAACGGCCTTGTTGAGGCCATCGAGCTGTTCTAATAGGCCGCGATTCTCTTCAATGATGCGGGCATTCTCAGCCTGGACTTCGCGCTTCTCGCGTTCTAAATTCTCAATGCTGACAAGTAACCGATGGCGGTCCTCTTCCGCCGCGGCCATGTAGGATTCATGACGGTGGAGTAGAGCCTGGAGAGCAAAGGTTAGCGATGATGAGCTGCTAGTGGCTGCCGCCATGGCAGCTTTATCTGGAAAAACAGTCATGACGGACAAAAACGCAATGGGAGAGTACTGGGGACGACGCCAGCATGGAGGATGGTGGTGATGATGGCGGCGAGGAAGCCACGAAGGCATCTCCCGATCGACTGCAATCTATTGCATTCATCTTCGCGAGCCCGAGCGATGATCAAATTCCAACGGTGGGCACCGATCCATCCAAAAAAGGTAACAAAAATGTGCGGGTAGACAAGAAGTATGTGCAGCCCGAGAGAAGTATGTGGGTGGGCGGGTATACAGGAGAGAGAGTATAAGGATATAGATAGATAGATGGATAGATATAGATATAGAGGGGCGTCACGCAACACGATGCAACGGTTAAATAAAAGCCAATGGGCAGACATGCAGAAACGAGAAACCAAGGCAAGGCAAGATCCCTGGCCGGTCATCCTTATACAGCAG